CCCCCCACTTTTCCCTCTGCAGCGGGAAGATCTCTTACTACACCCACCCCCCCAAAACTCGGGGGGAGCAGCTGGAAGCCCAAATCCTGCCGGCGCTGGGGCCGGCGCTGGACCTGGAGGCGCTGGAAAGGGGGGACGCCGAGGCCTTAGCGGGTGAGAAATTTGGGGGATCCCCCTCTTTTTTCCACCCTGATACCCCCCCTCCCTAAAACTCACCTCATTTTCCTTCCTTACAGCTGTCCCAGCGACGGTGACGGGCATCGGGCTGTCCCCATGTGTCCCCGAGATGGAGGAAGAGGAGGAAAAATCCAGTGGGGAGGAAGAAACGGCGATGGAGGATGATGGTGGTGACCTGGAGGTGAGGAAGGAATTTGGGGGTTTGTGGAAGGATGGAGTGGGGGATTTTTTTTTGGGTGTGGGGGGTTGTTATCTGTGATTTTCCCCTCCCTCCTGTAGCTCGGCGCGGTGACGGTGGAGCTGAAGCCCCGGGTGAAAACGGGGGGTTGTGGGGAGGGGGCCGTACCCCGAGCCCCCCGTTTGGAAGAAGTGGCCGCCCTCGACCCACTGCTGCAGGGCCAGGGGCTGCAGGCGGCAGGCAAACGCAGGAAAAAACTGCAAAAAAGAGCAGGTGAGCGAAAACAAAACCCTTTTTCCCCCACCCCACTGAACCCCCCCCTCCCCAAAATCATCCTGAACCCCCCTAAAAACGGGACCGTCCGTGTGTGTCCCCCCCTTCTCATCCTGCAGAGAAAATTGCCACGAAGCTTTCAGAAACACTGGAGGCAGCCATGCAGTTCTGAGAATTAGGTGTTTATTATATTATTTTTGGTTAAAATAATTAAAAAACTAAAAAAAAGAGCTTTTTTTTGAAATAAGAGCATGGGCGGAAAGGGGTGCTGTGTTGGGGAGGGGTGATTTTTTTTGGGGGGGAGGATCTGGGGGTCTGTAAATGAGGAGGTTGGATGGTGGAGGCTTGGGGGGAAGGAGAAGGGCACCCCAAATCCCCGTGGAGATTTTAGGGGGCTCCCCCCATCACCTTGAGGGGGGCAAAATGTGAGATAACACACTCACAAACCCCCTAGTTTGAGGGGAACACCTTATTTTTCCAGCTGAGGCAACACTCAGCTCCCAGAGGGGCTCAATAAACCCCAAAAGGGGCTCAGCTTATGGGGCAGGGGGGAGGCAATCAGAGAAGAGGGTGCCCCCCCATCATTTAGGGCACCCACTTATTTAGAGTACCTCTGATTATACAGAACACTCCATTTCCACCTCCCAGCCTTCCCCATCC